ACACACACACACACACACACACACACACACACACACACACTGATTCATTCTTCCATCTGGGCTTGTTTTATCTCGTGTATTTACCACATTGCCTTGTCAAATGATTACCCAACCGTGTTGATGGGTCGGTTACAAACAAGCAGCCCGTCTGATCTGCAAGACAGTTCAGTTTGGTTACTGAGACATGTTGCCGTGGCCAATGAGACCGAGACTGAAAGCTATGAGAAATGAGTGAAACTTACTACTAAAAACTGTGCAATACCTCTCTCGGTGTCACTATCTCACAAGATCTCACCTGGACTTCACATTTATACTCTACTTTCAAAAATATTCGACGATTGTGTTTCTTTATTACCCGTTTGGGTTCTTTAAAAGTTCCACTGCATTTACTCACTCGATTTGTATATTCTAGTGTTGTTACTCATCTTCTCTACTGCTCCCCAGTTTTATTTGCCGCTCTCAGAGTTAGAGACTACACAATTCTAGGTCGATCGATCAAAATTATTTCGCGCACAAGCAGTATTCCCTATGTACAGTTGCTTAACTTTATCGCCGACAAACATTTTACCTCTTGCGAAAACTTCTACAACAAGACTCTATCAGACATCACTTATCTACTACACAGAGAACTTACACAATGCGTATCCACTTCTGTAACTAGGTGTCGTTAAAACTTGTATCTACTCGCATCAACTGCCCACCGTTTGTCCGTTATTCCACATATTTCGAGATTTCTGGTACAAAAGGTATCCGTTAGAGAAAACATTTCGAATTTCCTACGCAACTGATATCCATTTGTAAACTTTTACTTCTCATTCCTTTTGAATTTACCATGATATATTTTATTTTTTTCTCTGTGACTGTGTGCGATGAAAGACCAGGGTGAGAGATTTGTGACTTCACTTGAATTGTATTAATTATACAGGTCGATTGCTCCATCATTTCACATTGCCATGTCCCTCTCATCCTTGACCTCGAACAAGTAAATTCCCTCTGACCCTCTTTGTGATCTGATTGGATCATTTTCCGCGATTCGCAGCACTTGGAATCCATCACCCCAACACCAGACTGTCCGATGACCAGCTTGTGCTCGGTTTTCGGGAATAAACCGTTCACTTTAGATACCCCAACAGAAAGAAATCCAAGGGAGACAGATCTGGTGGTGATCTTGAAAGCCATTCCTTTGGTTCTCCTTAATCAATTCATCTGCAGTTAAATTCCGAATCGAGGAGATTTCTCACCACCAGGGCGTTGTGTGCTGGGGTATCGTCATGTTGGAATCGAAATGTGGTACCAACTTCAGTTTCTATACGCCAGAATCCAGGTAGTCCGTTATCTTGTAACAGTTGCAGGTATGAGACGCCTTAAACTTCCATCCATTCAAAGAGCATCAGCTACAAGAACTTTGTGCCAATGATCCCGAGCGCCATTGTTCTGTTCCTATATACCATACCAAATTGCAAGATCTTTCGACACGAAAACAGCCAGTTAGGAAAACGCCAAGAAGAGTTTTGAGTGAGCCTACATTCGTGGATATTATGGTCTGTATTAAAGACCAGTTTTATTATGATTATCTATCCATTAGGATGAATAAAGCGATTTTTGACTTGACGTGAACTGACTTGACTTTGCCTAACAAAGTTAACACAAAGCTGAACAAGCGAGGGAAACATTGCGTTGAGTAACTGCCGAGACTACCTCTATTACGCTGTACTCTGGTGTAACTCGTCCGCAAACCTTTTAATCAAGTATTCTGTTTAGTTTTAACTTAACTAGAAATAGTTCTTCACTTTGGTTTCAGATCAAAGTAAACCGTGCGGTGTTAAACGACACGAGGTAGAAGGAAATTGGCCACAAAATGGTATGTGATTGGATCATGTGACTGGAACGAGTCAAGGTCAAACTCCAGTTTGAATGATGTGCGTGCATGATCAATAAACTTTAGACGTACGGCATATTTCAGTCAAAGAGGCCAAACTGAACGAATAGGATGCTTGAATAAGACTCCGTGGGGCAGGATGTATGCCAACTGGCGTCAGTAGTATGTAAACATAAACTAAAAGAAACATAAACTATTTTTTATTTTGTCCTCTAGTGTTGGGGATCCTTTGATGTCCAAAGATTGGTAAGGTCAAGTTTTTGGGGAGGAAATTTCATTCATATGTATTCGTTTTGATACCGCTGGCGGAATTTCTATTTATTTCACGCCCCGAAAATATTCTCATTTTCTAATCAATACAGGCCTAAACGTGTCCGATTGGGAATCAATGGATTTGGTCACGTGGCACGTACACTGCTCAGATGTGCACTGGAAGATAGTCGTGGACTTGAGGTGGTTGCTATCAACGAGCCTAGTCTGACCCCGGAACAGATGATCTATCTGATCAAATATGATTCCATTCTCGGTCCATTCAAAGGATATTTGAACGAACGGGTCCATGTGAATCGGGCCTCGGAAAATGCACCGAGTGAATTTTGTAGTTTGGAAATTGCCGGTCGAATGATTGCTGTGTTCCAGTATGAACAATCAGATCAGATCCCATGGAACTGGCTCAATGTGGAATATGTGCTAGAAACCACGGGTGATTGTCGACATCTGGCAGAGGCCACAGTGAGTTGTCGATCAATTTGTTTTATAAACATGGGTAGTTTAGGTTAGCCAGTCCGCACAGCCATTCTATTCGAGTCCTATACGAGTCCTATTCAAGTCTTATCCGAGTCTCATGGGAGTATGGGACTCGTATGGGACTCCCATGGAACTCGGATGGAACTCGGATAGGACTCAGGTAGGACTCAAATGGGATTCTATGGAAATGCCTTGTATTCTATTAAGCGTTGTTTACATTTTTCCGTGCCCGCGCATGATTATTTGATTATCAACTACATTATATGTTTCTAAATGTTAGTTTATCGTTCATCATTCTACACGTTGAATAACAAAATTCACATTTTAAGTTTACCACTCGAACCCCCTATTTCAATATTTAAGAAGTAATACAAGGGGCACATTGAAATGTGTATTTGAGATGAAAGCTGTACAGGTTTTACTCATTGGCTGTTTTCTTTTTTGTACTCTCTTCTGTGTGTCTTTGACTGGGCCTTCTGAATCCATCCTTGTATTCCCTCGCATAATTTGAAGTGAGTTTCACCCGGGAAGTTCTTTTTCATAGTGCAATCCACATATTGGTAGACAGTTAGATAATACAACACACTGATCGACCACCAACTTCGCAACATAACTAGATTACATCCCATACTTGTTGTTAGTGCCAAACATATGCATGTAAAACTAGTTCATTTAAACAAACTGCGAGCCAATTTCATCGATACTAAAATACACAATTTCATTGGTTTTTAGTATTTAATTTATCATTTCAGTAATTTATTCCGTAATTGATAGTATCTCGAACGGATGGACCAACAACATCATCCAGTTGTTTGATTTGAACGAAGACTAACAGATGCCGATCTGGAGTCACAAATTCACGGCGGAATACACGATGGGAGAGGACAGACGATTCTTAAGTTTCCGCTCCCAACTATCTTGGCTCGTATGATCTGTTAATCAAGATATAAAAATATCATTATTACCGAAAGAACATGCATGTCACGAGGTGTTAACATTTCGTTTCATCTTCTCAATCTTGTCTATCTTACAACTCATTGTTTGTTTGCAAACGTTTCATCACCAGCCGAGGTGATATCATCAGTGCGTCTGAAGACCACACCGGACTCTCGCAGCACAGCGGAGTGAACACAGAGGTGCGGTTGCATTCTCACAGTTTGTGACGATAGGTTGCTTTGCGGGCAAATGAACATCGGGCGGGAAACACTGGTAGGGATGCGGTACTCGGGGCTGACGAGGAAAC